ACGTTATATTTAGCAGTTCGGTATTTCCAATAAAAGCAAGGACAATATTATCTTTTCTTTGAAATTGAGGGTAACAATATTTTCAGCACAATTCATCCTTTATTACTGAAAAATAAATGGATTAGCCATTCACAGAATCTTTATAAATAAGGACATTGTGCACCTCATCTCATATCACATGATCATGAGAATATATATTGAGTCTCCAATCGCAAAAAATAGATAATAATAAATAATTTGCTTGCGAAGCCAAAAGGGTAATACTGGGTGTGTACTAAGTGTTTGTTATTAGCAAAATGCTCTTTTGATATGTCTTTTCTTATATCCAAAGAAAAAGATCGTGTATTTCTCCTTTTGAACTCGTTAAATATCCTGCCTTTTATTCTTATGCATGATTAAATATTTGTAAACATTTCAGTACATACATGAACAAAGATGTGAAGGTGTAAGGGAGTTATTTTCCTACTTCCCTCCAGTCTGCTATACAATCTAAAATCTCTTTGTAAGGTGAGATTTGGTACCCTGAACGATTGGTAGTGGCAAAGGACCAGGAAGTGTTGAATGTATCTATTTTTTGTGCTTAGTAAACCCATACACTGTATCAATTCATCGAATCAAACGATGGAGAAAGTTCTTGCTGTCTATCTCTAGAATTGGTTCAATACACAAATGTTCTTTTAGGGAATTTGTTTGTAAAGATTCTTTAAATAATTATTATTTACTCAAACCTTTAAGATTTTGAGATTTTTTCATCAATTTCATAATCAATAAAAGTTTGTACTCTTAAATCTAACATTTCATATACCAGTTGACGTATTCACAATGAGATGAAACATTTTAATTTTTTTAGGAAGTATGGTATTACATTTTATCTAATTATGTAAACTATATCCCATCATCTACGAGTAAATCACGTGTAAAATTGAATGAAATATGAATAATTTCTTAATCTAAATTTTATCATGGTATTTCCAACTAAAATCAGTAAGTGAAAAAGATTGACTTTGATGTAATTGCTTTGTTATAGCTAAATACACACTCTTTGTAATGGCTAGAAACGTCAAATATATGAATGCACAAAAGGGGTAAAGTGCAACCATCGATACACAATTGCATTTGTGTTTATCATGTTCTAAAGTTAAAAATATATTTCTTAATCTATCTGTGAGCAAAAATTCTGTTCATTATTCTTAATTTTCAAAAACATTTACTTTTAACGAAGATGATAAATCGTATCCTAATTTATCGCGAGGAATGGTTGCATAAAAATTCGTGATTTTCGCATTTTTTTTTTCCTTTGAAAATTTGAAGGGTGACAATTCACAACAAAACTAGCAGGCCGCCGAGTAGCGAGAAGGCGAATCGAAGTTTTGCACAAGGAAGAGAATGAGGATGATATTTCAGTTTCCCGGAGTATTTCTGAGATTGACCTCATGAATTATTCAAATGCAATTTCTAGATTATTTGAAATATCTTTATTGCTAATATGTACATGTATATTACCTCTTATAAATTGAATGCCTAAATAGGTATAATTTATGAACAGGTCTCTTTTCTCTCAGAAGAGTTAAACAGATAATATCTGTTCTGTATAATACGTTTTCTTAAACTGCGCAATCTTTAAACTAACGAACTTGTTGACCTGGCCTAGGGTAGAAAAAGTTCACTTGTTCAATTAAAAAAAACCCGCAACAATCGCAGACTTACTTAGATAAATTTATGGAAATTTACCGTAATTCGGATGGCACTAGGCATCGTAAATACATCTTTTAACAGAAATTGCTGTGACTCAGTTAACAGGAAAATATAAATCTATATGTAATCCCTAATTTGAGAAAGATTTAGTTACATTGCAATCAGCTTACGATGTACATTGCATGTAACACATTCAGGTTGTCTAAAATTTTCATTGAAATAATATTAAACAAATGTTTTTATTTCTCAAAAAAAAAGATAACTTACAGCACACACCTTTCTGATTTCTGTTCCTTGAAATTAGGTGTTGTCAAGTTCAAACACAAAGGAAATATGTAAACATGGAAAATACAAATATTTTGCAAACAGATTAAGAAATGAATTGCTGATATATGAATGCTTTATTCATTTGTACTTTAATCTATACATTATCTATTTTGTTCATCTGACTTGAATCTCATATTTAATTATGAGATATATGTCTCTTAGTTTTAATAAGATCTGAAATCTGAAATGTAAATTTCTATGCTGATTGATTGAATGTTGTTTTAGTCCCTATCGAGAATTTTTCTGTCATAAAGAGACGTCATTTTTAAATTCAACTTTAAATAAACGTTCATGTATGCGTGGCACTCAATCGCTGGTTTTTATAGTGCTCACGCCTCACACGAGACCTCGGTTATTAACGCTTCACACCAAAGAACTTATGTCGAGCATTAAGTATCAGTACACTACGTCATAACCTAGTTTGTTTACGTCTAAGGTTCGACGGAGCGCAGCGAAAGAGAATCAAACCCGGACCTCCCGATCACGAAGACAACTCATCTATCAAGAACGGTAAATCTTTTCTAATTTCTAGATATTTTCTTTCATTAAAAAAGTGCATTGAGCAATCCATTAAGGTCTCTTTACTTCCATATGCAGATCCATTTAACTTTTTATTCATAATGATTATTCTTTTTAACCAAAAAATATTAGAATATATTATTCATTTATTTCTCATTTCTTTTTACAAATGATGCATCGCATCAGTGTTCACAGACAGTTTCATTTTTTTAAATTAAAGAATTAAAACTAAAAAATCCCTTCATGTCATTATTTTGATTTTTTCCATGATGTCATATTTTTTTCTGCAATTTCTTGAAATAATTTAAAGTGAACTCGATATAAAGAAAATATTCTTATCAAAGTTGATTAAATCTTAATATTGCCGTATCCTTGTGTTAACTCTACTGGTTAATATATACACGTTTTTCTAATAACTATATTCGTGAGTCCAATTTTTGAAGATCATACCTTTATTGAATTTGACTTTGTTTTTTAGGGAGAAATGAAAGGGATAACGTAATTGTTTGTCAAAAAAGATCTCAATGGTGTTACTTTGGGGTGAATGCAGGAAGTTTTCTAAAAATGGAACATTTTCTCTGAAAGTCTTAGGGAAGATTAAAATCATATTTTTTTTTACAGTTGTGGGTCACTTGCTTCCTGCTTCTGCTGTAAAATAAAGAAGTGTTTTTTTAATATAGCCAGGAATGACAAAGTATAATTTAACAAGTCGTGTCCTTTAAAATGTCAAGGACCTCGATTTATTTGAATGGTGAAGGTCACTGCTGTTGTTTTCTTTTTCTGTTTTAGAAATTTGACAAAAAATTATGCTTCATAGAAATTTAAAAAAAAAAAGGAAAAAGTTTTAACTTTGATTTCAAACAAAATATCATTTTTCTCAGTTTCCAAGACCCACATTGCACAAACTTGTCTTTTGTACTTGTAAAACTACATCTATATACCTTCATCACCTGCATACGGAGTATATATATCTCAGTTGATTCGATACGCAAGAACACGCTCTATGTATGAACAATTTCTAAAACGATGTAAATTATTGACAAGCAAGTTGATGAAACAAGAATATCAGCAGTGTCGTTTAAAATTGTAAGTTCTATGGTCGAAACAATGACCTTCTCAGCAAGTACAATTTATTGAGTCAAATGCTGACTGACGTTTTTCATATAAAATTGTTAGTCCATTATTTATACAGTGAATTGACGACGGATTTTTCCGTTATTTCCTGATCATGACAAGGAGTACACGGCGGGTGTGACCGGTCAGCAGGGGATGCTCACTCCTCCATGGCACCTGATCCCACCTCTGATGTTTCGGAGGCCCGCGTTTGCTCTGCTCCTATTTTGTTTAATGGACTTTGAGATTGAATACTGTTCGTTATCTCCATATCCTTATCTAATAATCATTCTATTTATTATAAAATACTCTCATTTGATATCTTTATTTATCAATGTCCTTTTTTTACAATTAAAAAAAAATCATAGTTATTGTCTGGTTTTCTTCAATTTCTATCTACAATGTTTTTCTTTGCATTCATATCACTACATCCTGGACATCATAATTTTGCGTTTAATAGAAGAAAGCTAAAAATAAACACAACTATCGCAAAGGCAAAACAATCAACATTGAGTCGATCAAACGAGAAATATTCAGTAAGTAAGTTACATTTTTTTTATTCAAGCACTAAATACAATTATTCTGAAATAAGACAGATCCATGGAAAAGTAAATAAATTATTATATTAACACGTACATGCATGTATCTTAACATACGTGAATTATTTATTTGCTTATGACATGAGAGCACAATTTGTTTTATTCGAATAAATTCTAAAAGCACTCTCAGTGTAGATTTGAACATCATTTGTTTGTTTTTTCATCTGTTGAATACTTTCTAATATGTGAGGTCATTGTGTGAATTTACGATGATAATTAGTAATGCTATACAATTTCTCTGAATAAAATCGGAAGAAAATACCAGCCAAACCATACTTCTTGTTGTTTACTTTTACTTTAAAAACACATCATTTGATATTCGATAAACCCTCTGTGCAATTTATATGAATTTTTAATCTATAAAAATACTAGAATGATAGTGTTATGAATTTAATTGAAGAACTTCTTGGAAAATACTCAGTGGGAAAGATTCTAGTAAAATAGTGTATATGTGTTCGTTGCATATATTAAACCTTAGTAATTAAACTGTAAAAAATAACAGAGAAAACAAATACAAACATACGCAAGGAAAACATAAAACAAATCTAGAAATCTCTGGTCTTTAGCTTAATTTTTTTTAAAGAGGAAGTAAAACACTATCGAATATACTTCCTTATAAAAATAAGTTCCCTTTTGCACCATTATTGAGGATATCAGTGAAGTATTTTCAAGCTTCGCTCAGCAGGTCATTTCAAACATCAAAAGTTGAAGATTTTTCTGAATTCATAAAATTGTTATATACTTCAGATGCAAACGCTTTGTGGTCAATGGGCATAAAAATGATAATACTTAAAAATATCATAACAGTACATTTACATAAAAAATCAAAAGCTATCATTATTACCTTAAACGAACACCGTTTTTAATAAACGTTAAGGTTCTATAAATTTTAATGCAACATTTTGCACAGATTCCAATACAATAAAGAAGTCCCTTGGCATTCATTGCCTGGTGTGAGTACGAATTACCAACTAGTGTCCACGAGACAAAACTGTCACAGTTATTGTGAAACACTGAGTACTGCCTCTCCCCTAGTCGTCTTTTGGCCCTCTTTACAGCGTCAGTTTTCTGTTTGTGTGTCTCTGGGTAGCAGTCACACGTTACGAGGAACACCCCAGAACTAAAATCCAGGATCCCCTCCTTATCCTCCGGTATCAGAGTCTCCTCAATAATCTCCGCTACCCCCCTTAACAGAATTATCATAGAAATCCTCTTCGGTGCATAGTGAATGATTGTTAATTGCGTTTCCTTTACCTCGGTCACCAAGAAGTGGTGATCGTAACTATAGTCAAATGTCCACCACAAAATACGAAGGGAGCGAGGTCTGCGAACTCTGATATGGGAAGCTGGCCCAATATCACCACACTGCACCATTCTCAACACTTCCGAAGCATCGTGTAACCTTTTTTCAACTTTTTGTGAGACAAGATCTGTTTTTCTGAATACAGTCAAGTAATCGTATGCAGTATGCATGTCGATAGTATATTGATAATTTTTCCTTGAACTTACATAAAAAATATCTTTTTGCCTTGTGGTTAAACCTTAAATCATGAAAAACATTTGTCTTTTATAGTTCTTACTTTATTTTTAGAATGAACTGGATTTTCCCTATTGCTTCATGGAAGGCGGGGCTGAATGGCCTTCATCTTCGTTTGCGTTTAAAAGACAAGGATTAATAAAAAAAAAAAAAACGGAGGAAAAACAAAACAAAACTCAAGAATAAAAAGGGAAAGAAAATAGATGAGTCTTAAAGCTATAAGTTACTTATTTTAATTAGGCCTTTATGACTTACATATCCTCCAGTATGTACATTGTAACTATCGCTTTTATCTACTTTAATGTTTGTATTGTAGAAAGAGACAAAAAGAAATGTTACATGAAAGCCAACAACAAAATTTTAAAACCCATTATCGAAGTTTTATTGACTAAAATAATCTAGGTTCATATAGGATATACTCAGCAATATAAAAACGAAGCTGATTCTTTTACGATTTACAAAAATGTAATCTATTTTGATTGTTAACCAATCAGATCAGCTTATTCTTTTCTCTTAACGTTTTTGAGATACATAGACTGAAACAGTTTTGTAATGAGTAATTAAAAAGTAAAAAAATCTTTTAAAGAGTATTAAAGGTGAATTTAAAGCAACTATAAAATATATTAAAAGATATAAAAATAAATTGAACAATAAATAACAAAGGGATAAACAAATAAGTGAATAAATAAATAAATCAAACTTCTTATTGACATCACATTCGCAACTTATGAAAACCTAATATTTATAGAGAGCGAATTATTTAATGTCGTAATTTATTGTTTAAACCCCACTTTATTTATAAATACTTCTAAAGCCTATTGAACTATTTTGGTCAATAAGTGTTACAAATGTATAAAAAAAAGTTGGTGTAGAAGTAGTGTTGTTTATACTGTTTATACTGTTCTCTATCTCCACATATTTCATTCCAAAAAATCATTCATTTTTTCAAATAACAAAAGGTTGAAATTTAATATCTTATCTTCTTAACCCTATTAAAATATATTGCTATTTTTACAGGTAAAAATTCAAGGTGCAACGTACATGTCCACGTTTCATCTGCTGTCTTCCGGAGAAGAGATATCGAATTTCACAGTTGGTAGTTTACAGGCATTCATAATGAGATACAAGTCGGATTGATCGCTAAGGGCATGTTGTGTATACACACAGGGCAGCGATAATAATGACTGGGGACTTCCTGGTCTTGTGAAGTACTTGTAAGATTTAAACACTTCTCAGATTGCTATCGATTTTAATTTCTAACAGAACAAAGAATACATCTTAACAAATCATTCACCAGAGTGTGTTTTCCTCATATTAAAAGCGAGATAATAACACATAACTGTATTGTGTTCTGGTTTGAATTATTAAAGTTTGATATAGTTATAAGAGGCTTCTAAGCAATAATATAAGTATCTAGAAAAATGAGCTAAGACATGGACTTTGATGCTGGTTATTGTAATGATCGTAAAAACCCAAGTGCTACACATAGTACTTACTGCAAATTATTTCTAAAACTTTTAATTCAATACAAAATTAAAAAATGTGGGATATCTTGTCAAAGTTTCGAAGTTTATCTTTTCAAACTTGCAATGTCAATAAAAACAAAATTCTTGTACGATACAATCATTTCATTGTCCAGTGTGATTGGACAATTTCAAATTTTAAAACCAACACAGGAGAGTTTATACGTATATAGAAATGTAAACACTGTATTTCAATGTTATGTGAAATAACGTAAAATTAATCGGGTATACGAAGACAAGTTAGTCTTTTCCAGAGTTATGGGGAATCACCTTCCATTCAAACTAGTTGGAGGCGGGGGCTGACATCATATGCCTTAATTGTTGGATTTTATGAATGAAAAAAGGGCTTGGTAGGTATTCGTCCATTAAACGTTCACGAATCTTTACGAATTCATTCCACTGAATGATTTTCTTCACTTGTGTGCCTTCAAGTCAAAATCTAAATATATACCTTATAATGAAAAGGAAAATCTTCAACACTCAAAAAGCTGTTTTAAAATATATATCTTTTTAGAATAAAGAAATAAAAACACAAGAATGCAAAGATGGATTTTCTTTTTTTAATAGCATTAAAATGCCATTTTTCTTTTATATTTTTTAACCATTCTAAATTCTATCATTAACCTGACACTGAAGAAAAAAGTTAATCTGTTTTAGTTTTTACACAAATCCATAAAACAATACAAAAAAAAGAGCAGAGTAAATACTGACCTCCAAAACATTAGAGGTGGGATCAGGTGCCATGCAAAAGTGAGCATCCACTTTTCACAGGTCACATCTGCCATGGGCTTCTTGTCATGATCGGGAAATAAGGTTAAAATCATTCCTCAATTCAATGTGTAAATAATGGAGTAACAATTAGTATGAAAAATGTCTTCCAGTCAGCATTGATTCAATGATAAGTTGTATTTGCTGACAAGGTGATTGCGTCGACCATAGAACTTATGAATTGGTAACTTTAAAAGAGAATGCTATTATACTTGTTTCATCAACTTGTCTGTCAAGAATTTACTTTTAGAAATTTTAAGCAGCGCATGCTCTTGCGCATCGATTTTTGACATATTCTGCTTCATATGAATACCACAAAACGTCTATTATTAGGAAGATACAATTGGTACTCATTGGAATTCCAATAAATTGTTGGAAGACATGGTTTCAAAAAACCAAATAGATATTGTCAATGACCCAAGCATCTTTTTGATATCACCTTAAGAGTACTTTATGTCCAATCAGAATGAAGTCACCAAATAGGGTTTTCAGCAAATACAACATTTATAATTAAGTCAAGTGCTTATTAACGTTTTTTCAAACTAATAATTGGGCAATAATATTTACATGCTGAATCATCGACGAATTTTTCCGATTTTTTGGCGATCATGACATGGAGTTCAAGGTGCGTGTGACCGGTTGGCAGGGGATGCTCACTCCTCCATGGCATCTGATTCCACCTCTGATTATTTAGAGGCCCTTATTTGCTCGGCTCTTCTGATGTTTTAGTGGACCGTATTTGCTCATCTCCCGATTTTTTAATTGTTTGAATTGACTTTTGAGCTTTAATACTTGATTATTACCTTCTTATCATTCAAGGATACTATAGACGTATAAATTTAAGAAACTTGAGTTGATCTAAATTCAAATCTAGTTGCTGTAAGTGATAGCAAAGGCACCTTACATATTAACACATACCATGCATATCTGAATAATTGCATGCAATCTATCTTTAGGCAGGTTTATTTGAAACATGAAATCATAGTTATCATGAAGACACCAAGTTCATACAGTAAACAACTGATCGTAAGGTCTATTTATAATTCAAAAGTGTGTGCAAACCTATCTTCTGATTCAACCAAAACATCTTCTTTATTTCTTTTCAAAACATTGTTATCTCGATCAAATATTAAATCATTTCATTTTTTTTTTTTTAGTTTGGTAAAACAGGTTTTTTCAGACACCGTATATATATGCACCTAAAAAAGCCACATTAAAGTATTTGTTGTAAGTTAAAATTATGCACTATGGTATCAAATTAAAACAGTTTTGCTTAAAACCTTCTCAATTATAATTATTGTTGATGGTAAAATTTTTTAACCGGAATACGGACTCATTAATTTTGATGGAACTATCAACCAATATGGAATTTCAAATCATATCGTTTCTAAACAGAAAAAATGCTACAATTTAATTGGATTGTTTTCCCTTGCAAGTAGAAACAAAATCAGACAGAGGAACACTAAGTTCAGTGACGAGAACTGCGTTTGCTAGTCTAGTCAAAATACATTCATTTAAAGGATTAGTAGTAATCAGCATCAGCTCTTTTCCGACATAAAGAAAACTGTGTCTAGTTTATTATTGGATTGTCAATGGGACACTAGGGATACGATTGAAAGTTTCAACTTGGCTATATATATAACTTCAAAAAGTAAATTTCAGTAAATAAGTGTTATATATAGCTGGATGAAAAAAAAATTGAAGAAATGTTTAAATTTCTCTCTTTTCAATAGCTTTACAGTGCACTCAATATAATATATTAGCATATACTGCGTGTCTCAATAAATTAACATAGTAGAATTCGCTACTTTAAATTACAGAACTCTAAACAACAGCACTGCTGCCCTTTGTTATTTGGACACCCGGGGAAAAAGCTAATCAATTATAAAAATTCACAACAATCATGGCAAGAAGTCAACAAGTCCAGTTTCTGAACTGTACAACGAAAAAAATTTATTTGAGAATTTATTTGAAAATTATTGACTCAAAAAGCCGAGAGAGAGAGAGAGAGAGAGAGAGAGAGAGAGAGAGATGTTTAATAATTTTGATCGTGAATATACATGTATAGTATGATTTATCATTTATTCAACGACTTTTGAAAATATGTGAATGTCCATTTGTACTATGTTATTTGTATTTTTAAAAGTGATTTTATCTAACATATACTTAAAAACATTCTTCATCCTTAATGTTGAAAGTTAATAAGCTCAACGTAATGTCAAATTAAAATAGAATAAAAAGGAAGAAAAAATCCATAAGCGGCTGATGAAATAGAAAGAAAAAAAAGCAATTGCGTAGTAATCACCTGATCATGCAGCTTAAAGTTCCAGATGTTTAGGGGAATTCCAAAGTTAATCAGAGTTCTACAAGTAAATAATAAACAACTAAAAACAATTACAGCTGAAAAGTTACCACGTGTATCGCAATCATTTGATTCACACGATCCCATTAGCTTACTGTAATGTTTGTGTTGTTAAGTGTAGAAATCAAATGTCAAGTATGTTCTCAATATACGAACTTGTGGTGATAAGTGCATGCTGTTTATATGCAAGTGTGTATCCTTAGTAGCACTCTCTCACGTACCATTTCTGATATACTGAACAGATTTGTTTTTATTTTAATGTTTACGAATAAAGCATAGAGTACTAATATCAATAAACTTAACATCGGTATCTAAAAATGAAAAAAATAAACCAAAATGATACATAACTCACATGA